CCCCTTCCACCTCTCCACTCCCTCCCTCGCCGCGAGTCCGCGCCTCCTCTCCCTACCTGAGCCGGGAGCGCGGCGCGCCTTCTCCCCGCCCTCCCGCCACTCCTGGCCGCCGCCGCACCAGCTCTGCCGCCGCCCTGGGAGTAAAGGTCGCCCCGGCCGGAGCGAGCGGGCGTCGGCGCCAGCAGGTCGGTCCACCCGAGAAAGGAGGGCGGAGGAACTGGGACCCGGCCGGGAAGATTGCACCAGCGGTGCCCCGAGAACGCGCCGGGGAGCGAGGAGCCCGGCCTCAGAGCGCAGCCCCGACCCAGCGTCCCGCGAGGCGCCCGGGGCTCCGGCTCGGCCCGCGGGGACATGTCGTACAGCGAGCTCTACACCCGGGTGAGTGCGGGCCCCGCGCGGCCCCGGGGACACAGGTGCGGCGAGACGCGCTCGGGGCCACCTTCCCCGCGGTTCTCGGACGCCCCTGCCAGCGTCTCTGTGGTCTCGGTCCCCGGCACCCCCAACTTGGGTGGCGGAGAAAGTTTGGGTGTTCCAGGAGTGCGCCGCACCGACTGGCCGCCCCGCAGAGTCCCCCTGCTGTCACAGCGACGCAGCTCCGTCCCACGCAGGGGACTGTCGCCACCTTCCACTTCGCCCTTCCCTTCTCGTTCTCTCCGGGTCTCAGTCTCCGGCTGAGAGCCTGGAGCCACAGGGGCGTCTTAGCCCGCAGGGAGCCGGGGTAGGACACCAGCTTCCACCGAGGCACCTGGCAGGCGGCCCCATTTCCTCTTGCATGGACCCTGTTCCAGGTCCCCTGAAGTGCCGAGCGCCCCTCAGTTGGTCTTTTTCCCCTTGCGCGTGGAGACCAGCGGGATCTTGAACTTGGGAGGGGAGAGGGACGAGGAGCCAGCTGGGTGGGAGGGGCGCGGAGCTTGGAGGATGGGGTTTTGTAGAAAGGTGCTGGAGGGGTTTCTAGTGAGCTCAAGGAAATATAACCCTTTAAATATATATTTAATTCATATATATATATATATATATATATATATATATATGCCTTCACGTCTGTATGTGCACTGAAGCCAGAAGAGGGCGTCAGAGCCCCCTGAACTGGAGTGGGTGCTGGGACCCGAACTAGGGTTCTCTGAAAGAGCTGCAAAACAGATTGCAGCAAGTGCTTTTTAACTGGGGAGCCATCTCTTCAGCCCTAGGAAGCCTATACTTAATTTGCCTACAATGGGCATTTTGAGGCAGCTCTTTTAGCGTTATCAAGTATTTGGGGAGGGTTGGAGTAATTATTGACCAGGGACGGAGTTATCTTTAAGGTCGCTCTGGATTAGGAACAAGTGCGGCAGGAGGTCTCCTCCCGGGTTCCGCGCGGCAGGTGATGTAGTTAAAGCAACCAGCAGCTTCCCAGGTGTTGGCTCTGCAGCCCTAACCCTCTGGTTTCTGCCTGGTCCCGGGCGAGGTGAGCAAGTCAGGGCCTTTAATCATCTATTCTTTGCTTCCTTAAAAAATGTTTAGTATATCCCAAAGTCTGGTGTCTGGGACCTGTTTAACAGTGTTGCCTGCTTGCACGTCCCTGTGCAGAGGGATATGTGAATGCAAGCGCGCAGTGTGTAGGTGAATTTGCAATTCCTGTTACACCGGCCCCGTGGACAGGTCTGGGCGGGGTAGGAAGAGGAACTTCCGCATCCTCACCTGGAGATTGCTAGCTAGTGTCCAGCGCATGGGGGAGCCCTTCCGCTCCGTGGGCTCACGGCCTTATCTTAGTTTGGGCGGAGGGGGTGGGGGAGGCTGGTCCGGGTCAGCAAGGGCTAAAGCTCATCCAGTGGTTATGAAGGAGGGTGTCACCTACTTGGGGGCCAGTCCTGGACTGATTCGGATAGCCTTTGGGTTCACCAGGAATTCCAAAGCACCGTAGGTACCAGTCTCTTTGAGAGGGGTGGAGAAGGTGCGAGCCAGGGCTGGAACTCTTTAGCAATACCGGCGGCTTGGGAGATGCACTCCACCTCTTTTATCCGTGGGAGTCAAGGGAGGAGCCTTCGGAGTTCCAGCTGGCAGCTCTGGCACTGAGAGGCTCATCCGAACCGGGTCTGGAGGCTGGAAACCAGTGAGGCAGGGGGAAACAACCTGAGCTGGATGGAGTGTTCAGAGCTGAAGCTGTGTTCCGTGACAGTGTGCGGAGCTACAGCGCGTATGAGCGAGCGAGATGGGTAACCACGCCGCATGTTCATGCAGCATGTCCTGAAGTTCCTGAGCAGACAGTATTTAATTGCTGCCTTATGAAGCTAATGACTTACTGGAGACACCGAGTTTTTGGAGATCTAGTTTTGAAAAACAAAACATTAATGCCAAATTTCTTTTCAAGTAGATCACTTGTAGGGGAAACAATTTGATGTTTAGTTAGATGTGACTATGTTGCATGCTAATAGGGATGGTAAATTAGTGGGAGTCTGAACTCGAAGTGTTTCAGTGTACTTTCTCTTGAGTTATCCATCTACAGACAAAACCACGGGTCCCGAAAGAACTAGTTAAGTCGGTTATCTTCATTGGTGTGAGTGAGTGTTTGGAATCATTAAAGCAAAAAACAGAGTTCTGCCATTAGTGGATTTCTGGTTCTCGGTTATTGTTAAGTTATTAAATCTGAAGTCAAGGAGATTTTCTGGGGCTGTGCACTAGCCTTCGGCATGTTTTGTTTTGTTGACAGGGTGTGTAGCTCAGGCTGTCCTGGAACTCCATGTGTAGTCCAGGCTGGCCTCGAACTCAGGGGGATCTGCCTGCCTCTGCCTCCTGAGTGCTGGGATCAAAGGCATGCGCCACTACAACTAGAAGCTTCCAGGTTCTGTCTTGGGTTGCCATTGCTCTGTCTGGCAGTTAAGTGCACTCACTCTTCAGTATGAGAAGCAGTCGGGCTGCTTTTTAACCGTTGTAACCCTACTTGCCAGGCAGGATTCTGAGTGAGTATGAATCATAAATCACACAGAGACACAGTACCTGCTGCTCAGATCCACTTTGTTTCTTGGGGAGATACAACCTGTCATTTTGTTGTATTATTGAAATACCCAAATGTTCCCATTTATTTTTAACCTACTACTGGGTTTTCCTCATGTGTCCAACACTGGGTTGAGACATACACCTTAATATATTTATTATGCATGATGGAAATATCCAGTGTGCCAACAGCATTTTTAAATATTTGGGATGGAAATTGTATAACCCTTTATTGATCACACCTATAGCCTTAGTTGGGAGGTGTTATTGGAGTATAAAACATTATATAATATGTACATAGCCTGTGGGCATTAAATAGTCTGGGTAATAACTTAGTATATTGGTATATTTCTGGTTACTCAAAGACTTCCCCCTCCACTCCATTTCTCTCTTTAGCTGTAGGCTCATGTACAATGTGTGTGTGTGTGTGTGTGTGTGTGTGTGTGTGTGTGTGTGTGTTACTGTTTTTTTTTTCTCACTTTTGAAGGGCATGTCGTATTAACAAAGACACTCTGTTTTTAGAATACCCAGCCCCTTACCATTGAGGAATTGCTTTCTTTGTAGTGAGGACGGAAAAAGAAAATGAGTTAGTGCCAGATGCTTTCAGAGTGACATCAAGGTGAGTCAGAGGTGGAGTGGACTGGCTCTGTTGTCACAAGAGCTCACTAAATGACGTATGTGAGTGCTTGGTTTTCCAACCCCTAGACAAGACAACGTGGGCTTGACTTGTGCAGGCCCCAGAAGGAAGCCCAGGCATGGACTAGCATGGGGGATGTGAATGATTGCGGAGGACAGCCTGGTCTTAAACAATGCATGGCCTCTTTCCCTCAGACGGAGTCATACAACCTATAGAGGATTATTCTGGATACTGTTGTAGAATATTATTTTAAGATGTGTTACATTTGTTTATGCTGTGGAACGTTTGTTTAATGATGCACAGATGTGTTGCGTTCTTTTATGTTGCATTTGTTTAACTCTGTGAAGCTGTTGCTGTGCCTGTCTAAAACACCTGATGGTCTAATAAAGAGCTGAATGGTGAGGCAGGAGCAAGGATGGGTGGGGCTGGCAGGCAGAGAGAATAAATAGAAGGAGAAATCTGGGAGGAAAAGAAGAAAGAGGATGAGAACAAGGAGAGGAGGATGCTAGGGGCCAGCCACCCAGCCACACCGCCAGTCACGGAGGAAGAGAGAAAGTAAGATTACAGAAGTAGAAGAAAGGTAAAAGTCCAGAAGCAAAAGATAGACGGGATAATGTAAATTAAGAAAAGCTGGCTAGCAACAAGCCAGCTAAGACTGGGCATTCATAAGTGACAATAAACCTCCGTCCGTGTGTTTTATTTGGGAGCTGGGTGGCAGCCCCCCTCCCAAAGAACTAAAGAGGCAAAACAGTAAAGAGCAAAACAACCAACAACAGGATAGAAAATGTAAACACTGCTTTTCAGTTATTTTGAATAAAGACATTTTATGTTTTCTACTTTGATTATAGTTAGCAGATGAACTGGGAGGTCATTGGTATTAAGACAGTATTAAGAGTATCCCTTCTCTTGCTAAGCTTTTAAATGACAGGTTGTATCTCCACAGTCTAATGTAAAACTCAGTGTACGTATATGTTTGCATTTTTCTTCAGTGCTGGGGTGGGATCCAGGGCCTCGTCTCTGCTAGGCAGGAGCTCTGCCACTGAACACCTCAGCCCTAGCAGAGGCTTTCTGAGGGCTGCTACAGTTTGCTCTATTGGCTGACACACCTTGTGAGTATCAGCTTTGAACCAGGAGCCTTTACTAAGAGTTCTGACTGGAGTGCCCCTCCTTGGAAGAACAGAATTCGTGTGATTGAGGGAGGTGCCCTCTAGCTTTCGTTTGCCTAGACCTCAAGTACACGGGTTTCCCTCAGTTCTGGTCCTCCTGCTTTCACTGTGCCCAGCCACGCCACTGGAAGATGATTCCGTCCTTACTCTTGTACTTCATCTGAAAAGAGATGGTATTTCAGACCGTAAAGAGCTCTTGAAGAGCCCTGGTAGCAGATGCTGTCTGTGTCACCCTATTAGTTAGTGTCTTGGTTCTCCTGTGCCACTTTGACAGCACTTCCTGTGACTGTCTTTTCCCGGGAGCCCAAAAGTTCAAATCCTCCACACAGGGAGGCAGTCTGTGAATAGTGGGAGGGTAACCATGTTATCCCCCACCCCCAATACCTGGGGACGTGGAATACCCTTAAGACACGCCCTGCACTGTTGGGAATTCTTCCGCAGGGTTGGTCTGTTGGGACTTTTCTCAGTATTACACTTGGTTTGGCTCCCTTCCTTTTTCTGTCCCCGGCCTCGCCTCCTGCAGAACACTGCACCCATATATCTCTGGGGCAGAAAAGCTTCTAGGAACCCAAATTAGTGCATAATTCACAGTGCCCTGTCGAGGC